TTTCGTATTAACTGTATATATTTCTTGGTGAAATGTTAATGAAAACATAACTACATCTTTCATCAGTGATAATTCATCGTGAGTGTGGGCTGAAGGAAACATTAACATCCATATCCAGAGGTGTAGAATCTGCCGTAAAAAACGAAAAATTTTCCCTACCGTAAAAAATATTCTTCGAAAATTTCCCCAACCGTGAAACTGGAAAAATTCTCTCTTTTTTAAACATATTTTTGAAAGAAACGAAGAAAGAAACACGGTTACTACATGTTCAACATAACATTATCTAAAAAATTAATTAATTCCATCAATCATTTACTAATCTGGTAGTCATGGGAGTTGTTGATTTCGGAAACGACTTATAACCATGGAATCAGGACGTAGAAGTTTTGAGGATTGATATTGTTCACTTTTCTTATAAAATAACCAATTTTTTTCCTTCTTGTTTTTGAAATGATCATCTAATGAATCGTTGGTCTCCTTCTCCTTATTCATCAGCATTAACAACATGTTTTTTTGTTGTTGTATCACGATTTATCTCTCTTTAAAAAAGTTTTCTTCATGTTGTTTTCAGCAATCTTCAATTTGAAACTTTGACTAAGATGTTGTTTTTTGCAATGATCTTTTGCTTTGTCTTTACGACTATTCCAACCACAATAAAATCACATTACTTGCTCTTTACTTTGGAACATTTCCAGCTCTTAAAATTTGAGACGATTTGATGAAATCAGAAGTTCGATAAAAAAATAGAGAGGATGAGAAAAAAAATAAGTAAGTGTTATGATTTATATTAATTACTGGATCATTCGTTTCTGATTTATATATATATGGGCTTGCCCAGTCTGATTGGATATCTCAATTCTTCTTTTGTACATGTAGCTTCTATAGTATATCATAAAAATATGATTTTTTTACTGGTTATAGTACTCATGTAAAGCGAATGATCTACCAAGGAGAAAGGGGGTATATCTTGTTCAAAACTATAATAATCAAGTGTCCTCTGATATCTAGGAAGAATTATTTTGAGAGAATCGGAATTTCACAAGAGATTCATGAGTTGACCAAGAACATAAACAATTGGCGACAAATCGATCGATTTATTGAAATGTTAACACTTAACTTTGTACGAAAATCGAAAACATTATTCTGTGTCGGTGGTGGGCAGAATTTCGTTATGCATTTCAATATTTTGAGTCAAGTTATTGAATGTTTTTCTTCTACAAAGGTAAATGCCGATTAAACACAGAACAATAGCGAATGTCAAGGGAATTATTGCTGACAAAATGATTTCCGTTTGATGATTTCCATTTGATCTTTCCGGCAAGACATGAGTGCTTGTGATGATACTTTGTTCAGTCGATATCAGAGTACTTGAAGAGGCTAGCATCGTTATTGTCTGGGCGCTAGTGGTTTGCGTCGTGGTGTCAAGAAAAGATAATGATGTCGATTCGGTGAATGGCAAAGTAGTTGTATTATTTGAAAATAATTCACAAAATAGATCTATACTTGTACATCGTCTACTTAATTCATCTACGACTGATTGATTGTATAGACAAATAGGACGATGTTCTGTGTCAAAGGAATATAGGAAACAATTACATGGATGATCAATGTCAACGATTAAAATTGTCTTATTCAAAATATTAACAATTGGTTTGGTTAAACAATAATCATTGTCAGTTAATCGGATACCGTATAGAATTATACGAGGACCTGGTGGATAGTTCCAATTGATAGACGAATTTTCACTATTAACATCAGTTTTTCGATAAAGCCAACTTTTTTCCGTCATATTGATTTTAGAGAGATCCAAATAAAATAATGTTTGAAGCTTTATAATGATAAACCAATTGATTTCGATCAAATTTGTACAATTCGAAAATGATAGACCTGAAAGCGTTGATGAGATAGGATAGAGAAACGAGCTTGTTTGATTCTTGGATAGTGATGTGCTGGATGATAATGGTTCATTTGTTTCGAGCGATGAAAGTCGATTTCCAGCCAAATTTAAATAGTTGATTATCGTTCCATTGAATGTCATTGAATCGATAAGCTCGATTTGATTATAACTTAAATCAACTGATTTAAGTTTATGTGCTTTTTCAAATATATATCCATCCAATGTCTTTATTCGATTGCAGCATACTGTCACATTGTCTAAATTAGTCATATGTTTCAATGGATTCAAATTATGTAGGAAATTATTTGATAAAACGAGTATAACTAGCGATTCATTTAATGGATACAAAAATGATGTTGTTTGATTGTCAATTGTTAAAGTTTCAAGTGATGTTAGACGATTATTATCTAAATTTAATTCAGTCAAGCGCAATCCAACAAATGAGTCGGATTCGATGTTTCTTATTAGATTATTAGACAAGTCCAATCGCGATAAGCTAGCTATATTATCGAATATATTTACTGTAATTTCTTCAATAAAATTATTCTTCAAATCAATTGTTCTAAGCCGTTGAAAATTTTTCAATGAGGGTATTGTACTCAAGTGATTCGATGTTAGATCCAAACCAGCGAGACCTGCCGAAAGACTTCCGAGAAGAAGGCTACCATTTGTCAATGAACAATTGTTCACTGTTATCTCGATAAGTTGAATTGTAGACGACCCATTAGAAATAAATTCCATATCACCACAATTTCGTATGTTCATCTGATAGAATCGAGCACCATCCATCGACTTCAAATTAAATTGATATGGAAGATTGTGTATATGACTGTACTGTATATTCTCGATATGTATTTCGTAGTATGCTCCTTGACTAAATGCATAATCAGCAAGTTTGAAATTTTGTGGTGAAGTAAATGTTATCTCGATCGATGAATCGGTATATTCATGTAGCGGTCGAAAAGCATTCTCTCCTATTTCGTCCATGCCATTAATGAATGTCAAAATAATCGACTGACCATGTAAATGAAATGTTGATGAAAAATTTGTAAAAGTTAAATATGTTAAGCGTGTCAAATTATAAAATGTGAATGAATGTTGATCATGATTTGCCGAAACGAATGGTGTCCAATCTACGAAACTGTCATTTGTTGCATTTTTTCCAATGCAAGAAACAAATGACGTGTCGTCTTGACAATAACAAGTCAAAACTG